TCAGCTTTTGCAGACCCTAGGTCAGCAGTTCTGGTTGAAAAGTAGAGCTTCAAAATCAGTCTTGCTTCTCATGTGAGATGCATGCAACATGCTGCATCTACTGGAGCACCCTCCCAGAAAGTTTTTGTTATTCCTAAAGAAAATAAGCAAGCTGCCCCCCTCCCCAAGCCAAACCAAACAAGCCTATGAGACCTGAAAGTTGCAAGAATCAGGCCCTGAACCTGTTCATTCCCAAAGTCAACCTCTGAAAATATGCACAGCCATCTTCTCGCCTCATTTTCTGATGTTTTCTTGCCAGACTGTGCAGGGCTGCAGTCTATTGGTTTCAAGAGCACGCAGCTGCTAACATAAGATTGCAACAAGCTCTATGTTGCAGGTTTCTCTTTCCAAATTGCCCTTGGCTGCTTTTCAAAGACTGGTACATCCTGTCTGAGAAGGAAAACACCTTCTCCCTTGCTTCCCCCAACTGCAGCGTCCCAGCCTGCACAATCAGAGTGAGGATCACGGCTCTTGGCACACCTCCCTGCTCCAAGAGCTTTCCAGCTGTTCCACACATCTAGCCTTTTTTTTTTTTTGGTCAAGCAAGAACCTAGCCATGCCTCCAAGGCAGCAGTACAGGTTGCCATGTCCTGTCCTCCAACACCTTTGTTTAAACAGCATTGCTATCTCTGGTTTGGCCTGAGGAGTGCAGACTCCTTGAGGCATTAGGTTAACTCCTCCTCTGTTAGCAATCACATGTAGATCTTTCTTCCCTTTCTCCCCCAAAAGGCTCGAAAACATCATACAGGTCACAGAAGGGGACTGAACACTGGCTTCTGACTTTTCAAACAGAAAACAGGCAAGGGGCTTATCTGAAAACACACAGAGAGAAGGTCTTTAAGTGTAAAGGAGTCCGTGGCATTTGGGATGCCAGCAGGAGAACCACCTCACTCTCACACCCCTTACTTCCAGGCCAGCTACATGCCTGAAGCCATGCCCAGCATGGGAGATGCTGGAAATGAAAAGCAAAGAAAATTGCTCAGTCGGTTAGGCCAGCAAAAAGTGAACACTCTTGGCCGGTTTTAAACCTAGAAGGGTTTTAAACATTGCATCTTCACAGTGTGGTCCTACAATGACACAACGGGCATGCAAGCAAACATGAATCACAACTGTTTGCTCCCTACAGACCCATTAAGAGACACACGTCTCTGACCAAGATGTCATGGTAGGTGCTTTCTGTATACAAGGCAGATAAGACAAAAGACCTCAAGGGAGATGCACATCTCTGTCTAAAATGACAGCATTACTAAATCATCCAGCTTGGTGAAATCACTGAGAAAAAAAAAAAAAACTCACGTGGTTTCCACTTGAAAAGCAAACTTCAATATTAGCAGCACACGCAGACTGCTCTCTGGAAGCCATCTAAATAGGTGGCAGTTTCAAAAATATGAAAATTGAGCAAAACCATGAAGAAGAAAAGGATGGCTAACACAGTCCTATCATTGCCACTTATGAATTATTCACTGGGCTCCAGCCCACGTGCATGAGGCACACTTTTTAATGCGCTGCGAGAGTGCATTACAGACAGCTCCCTGCCATCTGCGCTGGGAAGTCCCTTGGGCATGTATTTTGCAGCAATCCCATTGGGAAGAACCATGCTTTGGCCAACCCATGTGTCTACAAAGGAATAAGGTTCTCTGCCTGTCTGCGGCAGCTCTAGGGTAGTCACAATGCAGGCCAGCACACTTTCTGCCTCTCCTGGCTTGTGGTGTTGCTCACCCTTTCTAGATACATGTTTTCCAGCAGAAAACATCCGCAAAATCCCACAGAAACAACAGAGGTTTGGGGATTACAAGAGGGTGACAGGGGACCTACTCCTGTATCTGGAGCCTAAGGCCACTGCGTCCCATGTAGACTGCTCCCATCCCAAGTACCATCAGGTCTCCAGGAACTGGGGGGGGCAGAAGCATGCTGGGGTCACCGGCTGAGATTAGTTGATCTGCCTCCTCTTGTGCACAAAACATTACTGTTTCCTTGCTGTATTTCCAAATCTGATTTCAAAAGTTCAGAGGAAAATTACATCAGTCTGAAAATGTCAGACTGACTGACGGTGCCAATTCTTTTTCTCATTATTTTAAATTGGGGAGAGAGGAAGGGGGACAAATTATTTTGGAGAAAACCACTTTTTTTTTCAGGAAGCAATCCCTTTGAGAGCCCAAACCAGAGGTAGTTTCTGCTGCCAAAAGCTCCCATGCACAGAAAAGGTGGTGCTCCCAGCACCCCGTTGCCTGTGCATTCTCTGCAGGCCTGAAATTAGCACGGTCTTTTTGGGACAGAAAAAAGCCAAACCACCAAAACAGATCCTGGCATTTCTCTGCAGTGCTGGGTTAGTGAATACCTGCCAGCAGGGCTCCAGCAGCCAGACCTATCCCACAGCATGCAATTTTCTCATTTTCCACAGCCAGCAGTTCTTGTAGCAGGATTTCTCCTACTGCTACAGCTGGCCTTGTGTCACTGCCTTTAGTGACTCAACTTCATTACACCAGCCTTCATGAATAAATAATCACACCATCAGAAAACCTGTGCAAGGGAAAGGATGAGAGCCCAAAGCCGCATCTTCTGTTGGTAATTTCAGGGGTAAGATGAGTGGGCTGAGACTCCCTGAAGCCCCATGTGCCCTGCCTGCTCTTATTTGAGAGAAGATAGCTGAAGGTGAGGCTTTTTCAGAGACAACCAGTATCTCTGGGCATGGCCAGGCATGGACGACTCCACCTGCCCACCTCCATTACTTGCATCAAAGGACACTTTTCAGAGGCACCTTGAGAAAACAGATATCCACTTTTCACACTCAGCAGCTAGTCTGATTTGCAAAGTCCCCCTCCACGGTTGCTTTACTTCTGGCATGCAAAAACGGATGATCCCCTCAGGAATCCTGGAAGAGCACATTACGGGGAAGCATCTTCGATGCTACAGCTACAGCAGACAGGCCTGGTTCTCCTCCTGAACGAGTGGTAGGACTAGCCAAAGAGACAACAACATACAGTCACCACTCCTTGCTTTGGACAGAGGTTTGATTCAACCTCCTGTTAAATCAAACATGAGAGCATACAGACGCAATTTCAACATCACACAGTGAATTAAACACTCATGGCTCTATCCATTAGTATCTCTCTCTATTGTGGCTCTACCGTGGTACACAGGGAGACTGAACCAGAAGCTACACTTACCTACTTGTCCTTAGCATGAGCCACGCTTGTCCCAGGGCTACTGGTTCCTGTAACAGACCTTTCAATACAAGGCTGGAGGTGAAAACTGCAGGGGGGTTATTCTTGGCCTGATGCACAGGGAGGCAGCTATGTGGATAAATCCTGCTGCAACTATGGGGAGTTTGGCACATAACTCACAAACCAGGACCATTTCCTCACAGTCTGTACCGATCAGCAATGTATCATCTCCTCTCGTGCCGCTACATTTACTGAGTTTTATGTGGATTTAACTCCACACATCAGGGAAAATCCAACGCCAGCAATGAAATACTAATACAAACCCACTAACAGAAAAATACACTTTTTCCAACAACAGTTATTGGCAGCAGCCTTCACAACAGGGAAACAGTAAACAGCACTAGGACTGTGACACCCACTGATCTGCATTAAACAGGTGCCTTCAACAGGTGTCATACTACTGTCCACCGATGCTCCTCCAGAAGAGTTTCTGCCACAACCATCAGCAGCAACCCTAGCATGCCTTTATTTCCCCTCCTTGAGATATATCTGAACGATTTGTTCAACACTTCAACAATCCAGTCTAATTACCATGACAGGTATCTGATGCAGTGCGATGCAATCGCACTCTCTTGCTGCTGGCTGCCAAGCCCATGCACATACACCCGGGTGGCAGGAAGGGAATGCAGCCCTGCTCCAGCTGGTAGTCTCCTGCTCCGCAGTGAGGATCTGCCAATCTCCACCTAGCTGTTATGCTGCATACCACACTGGGTTTCCCGGTTAAGCCTTCTCTGTAAGGAGAAGGCTTTGGGTGGCTCCAGTGATCTGGCAGCACAGTCCTCACAGTCCCAAATGCCACCAGCTCACATTCCTGGAAGGGTTCTGCAGTGGACAAGTGTTGCTGGGGAGCCCTGAATTAAACGGCAGGAAGCAAGCCAGGTAGGCAAAGGGAGAGACCCTAAAACACAGAGCATGAGGGACAAGAGAAGAAGGACTGAAAGGTCTCCAGGGCTTACAGAAGCCGTGTGATGTGCCTGGTGCGTTGATGTGCACGGAAGGAGATGTGATCATGTTTTTGCCTCTCATCACACCTCCAAATGACAGGGGACAACAGCAACTCCCTGCCTTTGTCCAAGGTGACAGCCCTTTTCAACCGCTGGGCAAAGGAAGGGCAGACAGATCTGAAACCTGGACAAAGGAACAAACCAGTCTACACGACCTCTGCCTGTACAGTGCAAAACAAAGGAGGACACAGTATGCAATGTCACCTCAGCCCTAGCTTATTGAAGAAGCAGTGACAACGTACCATATCTCACCAGCTTGAGCTCAGTCGCTTTAGAATCACGGTGCAGAAGAGGGATTAAATTTCTTAAAGTCACTCCAAACAATTTTCTTAGGGTAACTGTTTGCAAAGTTAGGACATTTTAACCATTCGCATTTTTAATCAAAATCAACTCTTAGAAATTTCCCTTTCCCAACACAAGAGGCAACTGTTTTATTTCTGGTTTAGTGAGTGGATACACCGAAATGCAAAGAAGTGGAAGGATCTCTAAGCTGCTTAGCGTAAAAGGAAAAAGCCACAAATCCTAAAAGTGTGTCCTGCTGGAAGGAAACATGCTGAAGACTGCAGTAATTATAACCTATGAGACATAACACCCACCCCCCCAATATCTGAAAAGGCCACAGTCCAGCCCTCCATGCTGGGGACTTCCACCCATTTCAAAGAGGGGTCTGCACTGGATCTGACTGGCTCGGGCTCCCACCCCAGACATTTCCCCATGTTGAAGATCCACTTACCTGCCTGGTTTGTGGTTACATTTACAGACACAAACTGCCGGGCTCCAGGGTTCTGGTCGGACACTCCATTCACTGCCTCAATTTCAAAGGTATAGTTTGTATGAGCAAGCAGATCCACCATCATGACAGAGGTGTTTTTCAGGCCGGTTTGCTGGGGGAGGTACCTGACATGACCGCCACACACCTCACACAGACCTGAGTGTGAGTTGCACTTCTTGCATGCAATATAATAAGATACATCTTTCCTTCCACCAGTATCAGCAGGGGGAATCCATTCCAGAAAGACACTAGTCTCGTTAACATTTGAGATGGCACTCCGAGGAGCAGAGGGGGGTCCTGGTTTGTAAAGTGAGAAAAACACATGGTAAAAACAGCATTATCAGTCAACCTGTTCTCTACTGCTCTCTAGGTTGAAAAGAGATGCCCCGTTGCTCATGTGCCAGAAAGTATGTGGGGACCATTTGCAGCAGTACCCAAAGAACTGGGAAAATCGGGATCTGTTTTGAGCACTCCCACCTCACCTCAAGGGGTCCGTATTGGGAGACAGTCACCTGCACTGAGCTCAAACCCAACAGGAGTAGCACTCCACCCTGGGGCATTGCCTCTGGTGCTCTCCTTGCTCTTCCTGTGAAGGGAGCTGCAAATCTTTGCTCTGCCCAAGTCACTGTTGGCTTCATCATGAGCAAGATTCCCCCTCCTCACCCCACTGTCCCTATATTACTAGGCCTAGGTGCTAAAAGGAGACACGCACTGGGATATTCACGCTACTTAGGTACTCAACTCAGATGCCGAATCTTTCCTCTGTGCGCACCCACCTCTCCCCATCAGCTATTTGGCAACAGTGAAACCTATGCTTGGGCATCCAAATCACACCTAAGTGAGATGCTCAGTGTAGCCCAAAGCAGATGGTGATCTGCACAGGCCATTGGAAATGTGGCTGGATCCGGCTACTCTACGGCAGCCTTCTTGGTCCCTGCCAAGCTCTAGCACGGTTGGTTAGCCACATCGCACTTGCTTGTTTTGCCAAGCCTCCCTGCTCAGGATGCCAGCGTGGCGCTGGCAAGGCTATCCAAGGGAAACAGCTGCTGCAGAGGTACCAGAGCTCCTGTAAAGGTGAGCTGTCCTGCTGGGAAAGGCCATGGCTGGGCAAGCAAAGCCCACCTGGAGACACCTTCAAGACTGCTTACTTACAGAAGGTGCTGCAAGCTTTTTGTTTTTAACAGGCTTGTGTTGGAGACGAAGGGCAAGCTGCAGATACACCCTGAAGACAATGTGAAAGGACAAGCAGGAATCTCATGCAAGAGATCCACACGTTATATACTCAGGGAATGCTAATGAACAAGGAAGAAAAGAGAAGATTTATCAAAGCAAGCCAAGACGAATTTTAGTCACGGCACCACCAGAAGTTATACAGCAAAGACTGGGATTTTTCCAAGGGAGGTAGAGGACAGAAGGCAACACACTCCCCTTTGGTTTGAATGAAGCTGTCAAAATCTATGAGCAGTTCCTTGAAAAGAGCTCGACAACTAGGTTCACCAGCTAGAAATCCATACGAATTTAACAGCCTGTCTTAGGCTGTCATCTTCTTGTTTTATCGTGATTATTAAACTTGATTCGTTATTTAAAACAAGCAGAGTTGCAAAAACGAGATTACCTTATAAACCAGAAGCATTTTCCTCTATTCCCCTTTTTAAGTCTATAAAATTGGTAACACTGATAAAACACTGTCATGATTTCGACTCGAGCTGTTCTGGTTAAATAGGAAACTCACTGCCAGAGGAAATATATAATCATGATTTTTTTTTTTTTTGTGAGTGGGTGGGGTTCTAAGTTAGTTTAGGAAAAGACACATCAGCTTTGTTTTGTTCTGCGATCACTTCAGATCACTACAAACCGGGACCAAGCCACTTGCAATCTGTGCTGCAGGGATCCAGCGCTATTTAGGCAATGACACCAAGGTACAGCCCAAGCCAGGACTATTTTCTGCACTGTCATACACGTGCTGGTAGAATGGAAACAATGAAATTCATCACTGGAGCTGTGTGGACTTATATATATTGCACTCAGGAGTTTTTTATATGTGTTTTACCGGTCAAATTGCCCTACTTTTTCTTCTACTGGATGAATGTTCTTTTACTGCTACCAGTACTCCAGGAAAAAATAAAGAACTCGGGCACAAGAAACACTTACTGGACAATGTGTCTTTAACAGGGGATAAATTATTACTTTTGTGAAGTCACTAGAGGTTTTCACTTGCTTTGTACAGAAAAATCGGCTGCTCTTCCTGAAGGCTTAAAAACATCAACTTCAGTGGAAGTGCTTTGAAGCTAGTGGGACTTCATAACCTATAAAATTAGCATTCTCACAGGGGCTCAGAGAAAGGTCTTTAGTAGTCTACATATATCTAATAAGACCTGCTTGAAGAATCCTGAAACTACACTTGCGTAAAACTTTGATAAATCACAGCTGGGAGAACAAAACAGTGTTTTACCCTTGGAAGAAGGGGGCCCTAGGTCTGGTTTAATTTCCATCCTCCTTTTGTCAAGGACAAAGATGATAGTTTACTGGGTTTTTTTGTTTTTGTTTTGGGTTTTTTTTTTAATATATGTATTTTTTCAGTTTGCTGCTTTATCCCTTAAGTAGGTAAGATTCACCCTTCTGCACCACAATTTACTGACCAGAGGCAAATGTATTCTGAAGACAAAGATACTGGTGTTCTTCTTGATGGACAAAAAACTTGTTGTTTGCCCAACATTTGTTGTTTTGCACATATCTTAAAAACATAACCTGAGAGAGAAGTTACCCTTGAGTTACAAATATATTTATATATACGTACACACTCAAAGTTAACTGTAAACTTTTTCCAAATAGAACGTTACACTAAACACTACAAAATCTTCAGTTTGTCCCATGTGTTATACTATTAAAAATATTTCCCCAATATGCTCTGAACAGCAACAGGGCTACTCGTCAGAGATGGGAGGGAAAAAAAAACCCTGTAACTACATTTTCATTTTAAAGAGATGTTGTGCAAGGAACTGAAGCTAGGATTACTTAGTTAAGAAGAAATAAAGTGCAGTTACCTGGAAGATACATAATAATATTAAGAGAATTCTCAAATGCCCATCAGGACCAAACATTTTTTTTGTCTGAGGGCAATAATTACTTCAGACTGCATCACAGCACTATTAATTTCAAAATTACCCATCATTACTTATAAAACTTGCTTAAGGAACTGGAAAAATTAAATAAAAATTTATTCCCCCCCCCCCAATTGTACTTAATTGAGCAGTTGACAGTGGTGTAGCCGTTAGTTTTCTTTGGTGATGCTGGTGGTGGTGGGGAGATTCATGCAGTTTGGGACAGAAAAGTATTCATTTTAAGTGAGGAAAATGTGATTTCGTAGCTGTCTGGCTGGCAAGGGGACTTTGCAGGTGTACACCTGAAAATGGACATTGATATAGTCTCTAAAATTAACTAGATTTCAAGTTGAGGGAATCCTATGAATATTACTAACTTCTGCAGTAATAAATAATAAAAACATACCAAAAACTTGTAATATTTTCCTAGCAGTCATGACTCAAGTCTATCTCGCTTGTGTTTCAGTTCACGATGAGTCGTTCCCTTCCAGATCTAATTGGACTGGTTTAAAACATTAGTGTCACTACCTACTCTTTACTCTCCCTGCCAAAATTTACTAACTCTGCAGCTGAGCTGGTGTAACGCATGGCTCCTCCTCCTCACCTTCAGCACAAATATAGCTGGATTAGGATAAAATCCCAAGAAAGGATGTGTAGGGCAAGCGAGGGTGACTGAAGCACACAGAGAGGGCTCAGGTGATTCCCCTCTGCTTTTCGGATGTGAATGCCAGCAGAGATGCTGCTGCAACATCCTCAACTGCTGCACCCGGGTTTGCAGGGGGTAACAGAAACTGAGCAGTGCCTTGGTCAGCATTAAACCTCTCATCTGTCCCAGTGCCCTGCCAAGCCATATCCTAATACAGCTTCAGGCACTACGCCTGTGCTTTAACTAGTTTATAGTAAGCTTCCAAAACAACAACAAAAACCCCACAAACCACAACAACAAAACCACCAAAACCAAAACAAAAGCACCCAAACATTAAAACCCCCAAACAAACTTAAAAAAAACAAATCACCACCAACAAATAAGCATAAAAACCCCAAACAAAAAGAAAATCCCATGGTATTTGCAGAATCAGAAATTACAGCCTTTACCTACAGGATCCAAATTCAAATCTGGGGCAAACAGGCACTAAAATTTAATTTCCTTTTAACATGAGCTGGCCACCAAGCTTGTTTGCGCCTCTCTGAAAATCCTGCCCTACGCTGAAGTCTCAGGCATGCATAAACCTCTTCCTCAGGGATGGCAGCTCCTTCGCTGTGCTAATTCACCAGCAGGACAGACTGGATGCGTATCCCTCCATCCTGAGAAGGGACAAAGAGCAACCGATGCTGGGCAGGAGGCACTGTGGACACCAGCAGTCTGGCATAACTCTGTATCGGTCCCTGGCTTTGGTTCTGCCTGCACAAAAAAGCCAATTTTATGTGCATTTCCAGAGCTGAGAGTACTGCTCTCTCTTCCCATTTCCCAATACCCCACTGGACCTCATCGTCTCTCATTTGTCTATGCCTTTTAAGTCAGGCCAAGGGCCAAAATGGACATCAAGAAGCCCTGGTATCAAAGTTTTCATGCTGTAACCCACCCTTGCTACTGTTCCAAAAGACACCGGCGTAACTGGCGTACCTATTTAATAAACTGAGAAGTGCTTGCATGACTCAGCCCCCCAGCCCACTTTGATCCGACAGCACCAGCTACTGCCATGCTGCCTAAGGCTGTCTCCTCCCCTGCAGCACACCTTCCAACAGTCACATGCTTCATGCTCCTTCTGCTGATGAAAAGCAAGCGCAGAGTTCAAGGGCCCCAATTCTGCTCCGAGTGCCTCCTGCGGGCAAGCAGAGACCTGCCGAGGGCAATTTCCTTTGCAAGAGCATCTCTCCAACAGGAACAGACTTTTTCTTTCTCTTTTTGAAATGCAAACTTGGGAAGCTACTAAGCACATCTGTATTCACTGGGATGAAGGCACAAAAAGCCACTATCATGCACACATGATGCAATGAAACAGTATGGAAGTCACCTCTGTACTGTTGCCCAGTGGCTCTGAGCGCACACGGACTCATAAACCTCCTTCTCCCTTCATCGCCCAAGTTCCCTGGAAGCTCTACCTGCTCCTGCCCCAGTACTTCAGCTCCTTTTCGGTCCTTTTAAACCACTTTTGCACCTCAAAAATCACATTTGGAGCATGACAGACCCAGTTCAGGAAAAACCTGTGGTTTTGGTGGGACTAGCTGGGGGCATGCAAATTGTGGCCCTAAGTATCTGAAACATACACTGAACAGAAACTTTCAAGGTACAGCTCTCAGGAAAGCTCACTGATGGCAAGAAAGGGGCAAAATTAGTGATTCCAATTCCATTGCCTCCACCTTGGACTCCTAATACCCTAATTTGCCTGTTATACTACCCTCCCCCTACTCCAAGGGGATAAGCTCTACATTTTTGCTGCAGGTTTGGAGAAGCAGTTTCCATTACAGAGTTTTGAGACTATCCTGAAGAACGAATCCCCAGGCAGACTGGAAAGGTAGGGCTCTCTCCCTGCTTGTTGACCCAAAATGAGTTGAGACAACACTAAGCAGGACCATGTAGACTCTATCCATGCCTACTGCTGACAAGTGCTACCCACCGTTTCCTCCGCATGCGTGCCCCACACCAGTACCCATGCACGCACCAATGTGGCGCCACGCCGCTGGCTGAGTCCAACCATGAGCAGATGGCAAGAGATGGAGCATCCATTCGTTACAAAAATGCTTGCTGGGTTTAATGCCAGCTTTTGAAGCAAAAGGCTTCGAAAAGTCTGTTCATGTGTAACTGGGGCTATGGTGGACAAAGGCAGTGACATTACAAGTGTGTCAAGGCTAGTTCAGGCTCCAGCCCAGAGCCTGTAAAAGCACATTAATTAGGACCATAATGTCTAGTCACAGTACAGGAACAGCTCAAAAGGATTAAAAACAACCCTATAAGCACATGCTTACTTGTACAGGCCATTGTAGGTGGGTCTGATTCCTTCCTAAAATAGTGTTCTTCACACAGGCAAGATGTGGATGCTTCATCAAGCGTGTAGCTGTGAGGGGGACATTTGCTGCAGGATGGACTGTGGGGTGAAGCTTTGAAGAACCCAGGTCTGCATACTGTGAAAAGAAGAACCACAGGCTAAGCTCTCCCATCATAAAATTAGTCTCTTCACATTTCTTTTAAAAAACTCACATATCTTCAGCTAGAAAACAGAGAAACACTCACCAGCCATTTGGTTGCATATTTTAAAACAGTCTATGTCACTAACGGACAGTGTATACTTAAAAATCTGCATGAAAAGAGAATAGGAAGCTGTTGATTATTATTTTCCCCTAGCATCGGCCTTTGCTGGGTATTTATTTTCCTTACTGAATGCATCAGAGCTAAAATCTTTTGGGCTCTGCTTTAGAAAACATTATTGCGTTTGGGTTTTTTTCATTCAGTCTTAGAAAAACAGGTAAAATACATCTCATGGTTTTCATTTAAGATGTTCTACATCCAGAAATCAATGTCTCGGCAAACAAATAGCAACATGGTGGTGGAGGGGATCTCAAGATTGACAGCTTTAAGACATTGTGATAAGGCTACTTCCCTAGGGTCTTTTCCCCTGCAAACCTGTGATGAATTTTAAAATGCTCCATATAAGACAGACTGCTCTGGGTATAGCCTGAACCAGGCATGCACGCCGCACAAGATATTCCTTCCAGCTCCAATATATATGCATGATGAGACACAAAGACTTGATACGACAGCTATTTTTTTCTCACAAATAGAATATACAGCTAAGGGTAGCTTGGGATTTTTCTTTTAATTTTTAAAAATAATTTGAAGTGAATACAGTAATATCTTGTTTCCAGCCTCCCGAAACAAGTGCTTTTTCACCTACGCAAAGCACTCTGCACTTCACCCGCGTGCGCACGCTCAGCCAGGAGCAGTGACCACCACAGACTTGCACATATCCACCCTAGCTTTAGGAAAAAAACAGCCGGCCCTGTAACCATACTATTTTATGTGGATTTCCAAAACTACTGCTAGAAAAAGGAGTAAAACCTGATTTTCTGTTTGTCTCAAAAGGCAGAGACACAGAGACATGTTAAAGCAGCTCCAAACTGCTGCTACTTTCTTCCTTCAGAGATGCTCTAAAATAATTCTGCCCAGTATGGTATCAGCGATGCACAGGTCTGCTTTGAGACTTACAGAAGTTACCTGGAAATCACAGAGCCTTTCCATCTGCATTCAAACCTCCCCAGTTGTAATTAGCTTGCAAAGAAAATGAGCTAAAAGCAAAAGCATTAATATTATCCCATCAGGAATGTTCCAGACTATCACAGCATGAAAGTCGTGCTAAAATTCAGCCAGTGATGACAGAATTCATCTTCACCATAGATAAAGTATAGGTTTTTACTAGTGATCCCTTTTCCTCTAATGGACCAGCTAGGGCAACTGCCTCTAAAGTTTGCTCTGCTTCCTGCAGTACCACAGAAAGTCTCTCGACATCTTCCTTTTACGTCACTAGCTTCTTCACCAAAGGCGAGATATTCGCACATCAACTACCTCCCAGAGCCAACCAGTAAGTCCCTGCCAATGAAGATCACTCATGCATCAGAAAGGGTTTGATCCAAGAGCATCCAGCAGACCTCCCCCAGGCCCCACCTCTTGCCCAGACCACGAAACTCTCACCACAAGCACCACACAACCCTGAAGTGGTTCCCAAGCCCACCACAGGCTGCCAGGTCTCCATCATGTACCTGCACCCTCTCCATCCTACTCTAGGGAATGCTCATCTCCAGTATCCCTGCTGACCTCCCCAAACCAGGCGCCCTCCCACACTTTCCCCCAGATCCCTTTTCTCCCCACAAGACAAACAGAGAACAACTAGTAGGAATGGAGGGATTTACAGGTCATTAAAAACCCAATTCCCAAAATTGCTCATCGTCCAACTAGTGCTCCACACCTAGGCTGTGAGCTTTGCTGGATGCAGTTCATCTACTTTGTGTTCATACACCAGGACTGGCGAACAGACCTAGGCTTGAACTTATTCTTGATGGCTGTTAGCAGACTTGCCATGAGCCACCCTCATGCTTTATGGCACGTTCCTCAGTTTCTAGCACAACGTTCTTTTATTTACTTCACAGACACCTTCAAATGCTGCCCTACCTACAGCAAGGACTTGTTATACAATCTCTGGAAAGTCTTCTGAGAGATGAGACCACCAAACGGCTCCTCTCTAGCCTACAATTTGTATTTCAAAGCCAAATCACACTCTTGCACATCCAGACAATAGAGATGGGCAAATGAAAGCACAAAAATGCGAAACACATAACAGGGCAGCCCATGTCTAGTGTGTATTCAATGTAATTAGCCTTCAAAAAAGGACTTGAATTTATCTCATTATGTCCCATCAAGACAGACAGAAAATCATTATGGCACAGGAGTTTACCGTGCTTCTATTTTGCGCTAAGCAGTAAATGCAAAATAAGTTAGTTTTTCTTGACAGATTTTCAACGAGGTGCAGCTTGTTAATGACGGTATGATACGTAGCTCAGCTCAAAGGGAACGTTTGGTTTTCATGAATAAGTACGGAGCCAACAGATGTACAATGGCAATAACCCATGTTTTAATGAGGGACGTGAAATAAAACTGAACTGGACCAATCTTTGTATAATCTGCAGACTCCCATGGGTCAGGCAAGTCCCTTCTCTATCCAAAAGGTATAAGGAGGAACATTCAAAAGCATTAAATTACACTGAAGATTTCAACATGAGTCCTCATAACAAACAGCCAGCAGAGCAGTGTGCTGTCCTATCTAAGTGAAATATTCTTCTGTCAGTTAGAAAGGAAGAATTCAGGGACAGGGGATGGTATATGCAAAAAAAGGGAGGACAGAAAATAAAAATAAATGCAAGAATTACCACAGCGAGTGGTGACGTGCCAAGTCCACACACCTGCAGCAGATGCTTTGGGGAGGACAGAGGGGGCTTTGCAGGGTTTCCCCAGCACAGTCTTCCAGCCTCTCACAACCAGAGGCTTGCAGACCACTCCTGACGGAAACCACACTTGCCCCACCATGCTCAGGAGTCGAAGCAGCCGTAGCTCCATGAGTGTTTCAGGCATAATCAGTATCTATTATGACGCTTTTCTCCATACCCTTTCCTATGTTCATTTAGCACATGACACAAAGGAGAGGACAGCTGGTGAGGTGGTTCAAGCAGCAATCCTCTAATAAACAGGGATGCTGTTAAATGAAAGCTGACCCAAGAACATCTTATGCCTCCACACTGCAGAGCAGGTATCTCAGCAGCTGGATGGGCACAGTCTTGTCTGAGATCAATAGCCAAATGCAGGGTCTGATATTGTGTCATTTTTCTGCCACTGGTGGCAATGTTTCAGATATTTTGGAAATTGGATTCAGAGCAGAACAGGGCCACAAACAGCTTATCTTGTACATACCTTGGGTTTTGGTCTTTAGCTTACCATTCCTCTTCTGACGGTCAGCCTTACAATCTCTTCATGAAGTATACATTACATTATTTAAAATTACATAGGTGTCTAGGGTTTAATTTCTAATTAAACCTTATTTTAGTCTTCTTATATTTTTATCTCAGTATTTCTAATTCGACAGCTCTTGAAAGGATACATAGAACTAGCACAGTATGCTCATGCATGTAATGGTACTATCACTTTTTTCAAGGGGGTGGGAAAAGAAGGAGAAATAAGATGAGCCTAAGACTCCCCATAATCTGCTGCAAGCCATCTGAAGAAATGAAATAAAGTTTTAAGCTGTTGATGAGATCTGCTTCTTTCTTCCTAATATTAAAACTGATAACTCCTTAACTGATTAACAGTCACTGATGTGTGAAAATAGTCTTTAAATGAAATTGGTTGCTAGAAAAAAAAATAGAGAGTATTTTTAGACACAGCAAATATGCCATAAACAACCTGCTGGTGTTAGGTACAAGTGGGATATGTTTCTGTTAGTAGCACATCCACTATTAGCAAATTAATTTCACTCTTTTTATTTTTAGTAGCAACCACAAAACGTTGTGGGCACAGAGCATTAACATCTGTGCAGCCTCTTGCTTTTGCACTTCAGGACAGGCCAGAGAGAGATGGCTGCAATGACGGACAGCAGCAAGAGCCTCTTGGGACAGCAATGGTTGAGCTGATCCTTTAAACTGGCAGCATTAGGATCAGAAACTGGCTTCGTACCTTGCAGATGGGAGCCCACAGAGCCATTCTGACACAAACTAGCTCTTCAAATATGGGTGGATGGAGGAGGAATCACTGGTCCTCTTACAATGAAAAGTAGCCTCTTCAAATGACGTGCTGAACTTTAGGTGCTGTATCAGTACCAGAGACAGTGGGTATCGGGGTGGGGGGGGACGGGATACAAAAGCAGGCAGAACAAGCCAATAATATCAAACAGCTGGGACTACATGACAGATTGTTTTCTGCAAGCCTTATCATCAAATCATTTGCAGCTGCATCCCTGTAACCATCCCTGAGCTTCAGCTGGAGGCTGCATCCAGCAGGCAGGACTCCTCTCCTCTCTGGCTGCCCCATGCAGTGTGACTTCGATGCACACTGATCCCAGGCAACAAGTGCTGAAAGCAAGGACCACCTCTGAGGCTCTCCACATCCACAGGCATGTACGTGGCCACGTCGGTAAAACAACACAATTAGTATTAGGAGGAATTCCAGTTCTGTCCCTGAAGAGAGAAAAGCTAGGAAACATGACCCTATAAGCCTTGAAACCCCAGGAGATATGAAAAAGGTCTGAACTATTACTCCCTTCACACTCTTGTGATGCTGGGACGATAAGCTCACAGTAGTTAAGTGCTTAGGATCAGTAAAGCGACCTTTCAGAAAATATCCCAGGAAATAAAGCTCAAACAGGAATTACACTGTCTCCCTTGCAGAGCACCAAATTAAGTCTCCACAGTAATCAGAAACCAGAAGCATAACTCATAAAGCAGTGCTGCTAATCCATAAATAAAGCTAACAGACAAAATCTAACAAAAATTAAAGAGGATAAGGATGCCTAGTCTAGACAGAGCACAGGTTATCTGGCTGAACTGAGGCTTCCTCTCCAAACTGCAAACCCCCTTTG